CCCGAGCCCCGACCCCGACTCGCTCTTTCCTACTGATCCTCCCCCGGGGTGCTGAGGTCTAGAGTTCTAAATCAGTCCCTTTAAGGCTGGAATTCTTGTTTTCGGAAAGCACTGGATCGGTGGGAAATCTAGTGACAGTGCATTGATCTACACAGGCAGGCTGAGATTTGGTCAAGGAGGGAAGAGCACTTGGCCAAGCCCCCCACATGGAAGAAGTGCTCAAAACACCCGGCTGCAGGAGCCCCTGGCCAGGCCTGGCCACCAGCGGGGCATGATGACCGCATTCCGGTTGAAACAGAGTGTCTAATGTCCTGAGTATTCTCACAGGACCTGTCTACATTTCAGTTTTAAAATCCCAACTTATAAAGCCTTATGTTCCTTAACCACCTGTGTAAATCTGAGGGCAGCTTTTACCTGTCCCTTGGGAACTGTCGTATTTGAATGGGTGCTGTCTATTCTGCCTACTTTGAAACAGCATCACTGGTCGGTCTGTCTTTTTTTCCCCTCCCCGCCTGTTTGTTCACTCCCCTTGGTGATGATATAAATGGAAGTGCAGAGCCTGTAGGAAGTATTTGTTAGTCTTTTCCAGTTATTATTGGCTTATTTCATTATGTGTTGTCTATTTCACTATCGTATGTGTTTTATCTGTACAGGGCCGGCGATGTGACTCAGTACGGTACCTGGCATCCTGTGTGGGAGGCCCTGGGTTCCGCCCTAAGGACTCCATTTGTTCCACACCCCCTTCCGCTTTCCCACATGCTGAGCGAACACGACCGACACCTGGGGAGAGAGAACCTTCCGGCAGGTGTACACTTGGTCCCCGCGAGACGGGACATCTGCCCGAGCCCCTCGCACACCAGCCCTACATGAGTGCTTGCCGGCCACGCCCAGACGTCAGACAGGACCTCAGGGCGGAAGCGTCTCTGGGGTGTCTACCAAAGCAGCCCCCAGATTCTTGGGCCTTGTTCCAAAACATTTTAACACTGAATCCTGTGAGCTTGGGAACTTGGACTTTGAGAAGTATCATAGGTGAGCACACACTTGTAATCCTTGAACTGTTGGAGGCTGAGGCAGGAGGATCCAGCCTGGGGAACTTGGCAACTTAGGGAGAACTTGTCTCAAAATAAACAATGAAAGGGCCAGGGATTTAGCTCAATGGAGCCACTCCTGCCTGCTGAGTAAGTGCAAGGTCCTGAGTTTGATTCCTGGTACCAAATAAATAAGTTTAAATGCACAATAAAAATTGTAAAAGGGCCGGGATAGCTCAATGTGAAGGCCCTGGATTCAATCCTCAGTATTGCAAAATAAATAGTATTGTAGGTGACTCTGATGTAGGTGGTATGTATATAGACTTTGCTTTAAGACACCTTAAAGACCCTGAGATGATCACATGTTTTCTAGACCCTTCCTCACTTACATCATTTCATACCTGTCATCTGTATTGTCTGCTGGGGCAAACCATCCCAGGCTGGGTGTCCTAAGCCACAGAATTTTCTCACAGCAGAGATTGAAGTGCAGGCAGTTCTGGTTTCTTGTGAGGCCTGTCTCCTGGGCAACAGCAGGCCACCTCCTCATGGGGTGAGGTAATGTCTGTGCATGCACCGGACCACATCTCTTCTAGCCAGGCGTGGTAGCCCACGCCTGTAATCCCAGCACTCAGGAGGCTGAGGCAGGAGGATCACTGTGAGTTCAAGACCAGCCTGGGCTAGTGAGTTCCAGTCAGTCTCAACTACACAGTGAGACCCTGTACCAAAAAACAAAAACAAAAATCTCTTCTTCTCAGGGGGTGCTCTACCACTGAGATACAGTCTCATCTCTTTTTGGAATAAAAGTTTATTTATTTAAGACAGTCTTAAAATGCCTAGGTGGGATTCGAATTTATGATCATCCTGCCTCAGCCTCCCTTATTTGCTGGAATTACAGGTGTGTGCCATCATGCCCTGCTCCAAATCTCCTCTTAGTAAGGATGCTAGTCAGGTCGGATTAGGGCCCACACTAATGACTACATTTTAATCACCCCCCCTTAAGTCACCTATCTCCAAACACAGCCATATTCTGAGAAAGTAAGGGTTAGAGTTTCACAAGTTGAACTTCAGGTGTACTATTCAGCCCTGACTCGTCCTGCTCTTTACACTGCAGAATTCTCCCATGTCACTGGCTCCTCACAGAAGGGGCATGCACGCCCTGCTCTCCTTGATCATTTCAGGTGTTTATTGACAGTTCCAAAACTTCATTTGAATTTTCTTTTGGGGCCTCTGTGTACCGGAGATTGAGCCCAGGATTAACCCTCGCCTGCTAAGCTCATGCCTAACTACTGAGCCAGACTCCCAGCCTGTCCTCAGACTTTTCTTCACACTCAGCCAACATGCAGTGCTCTAAGTACAGATCTGCCCTCATTCTGTGCCAAGGCTGAGGGAAGGGAGGTTATCTTAGCCAAATGATTCAGTTTCAAGATAACTGATCACCTGTAAAGCATGAGAGGCCACTTTGAGGCTGAATTCAGGGAATGTTGCAAACTGCTAATATTTCCTTCTTGTACTTCAAAGTTTGCTTCAGTGATATGTGTTTTGTCTTCTTTCGTAACACCCTTCTCTTGCCTGCTTTTTCCTCCCTGACACCCTTAGGCGATCTGCTGGGATTTTTTTGTGTGTGTGACTATTTCTACTGCACTGTGGGTAGGCCCGAGTATCCATGCTTTGACTGACTAACGGAGCCAGTTCTTTCGGACAGTCACATCTGTAGAAAACAAGGAAGTTCTTCAATCACTAATTCCCATTCCTATCACCTTCCAGCCAGCTTTTTTGTTTGTTTGTAGTCCAGACTCACCAGGAACTTGTGCTAATCTTCCTGCCTCAGCCTCCAAAGTGCTGGGACTACAGGTGTGCACCACCTCGCCGTGGCCAAGCCAGTTTTATCAAAACACAAACTGAGGTCTTGATTTCAGAGCCTTCTTGTACTTACCCAATAGAGGGAGAAACAGGAACTGGCTCCACCCTATACGCACAGGACGGTCCTCTGAAGAGACAGAAGACTTCTCACACTTCTGCAGTCTCCAGACATTTGAAAACAATCTAAGGACACCTTAGGTTATCCACCCATCTGGTCCAGGTACACACAGCAAATTAGCTTGTAACCAGGGAGGGATTCCCTGGAGCAGAAGAATCTCTCTGGGGGACCTTTCTTTTTCCTAGTGGCAATTATAAAACATTTCGCCAACTGGCAACAGTTTCTGCCTGAAACAGCAATGAACTATTTCCTCCCTGGTGGGGAGGGCTGGCTACCAGCTGTTGTATGGATGTGCAGTGACTTGGCACAAGCCGCGCCTAGCTAGAAACAGTGGCAAGCTGGAAAGAGCAGCCTAGGGAAGTTGGGCATTCTAACTGGTGTCAGCTTTAACCTCAAACAAAAAAGAGAAATATAGATAAGGAGGACTTCTTCAGTGTTAGCATCCATAATAATTATATAAAATGTACTGGCCAGGCGTGGTGTCGCATACCTGTAATCCCAGCACTTGGGAGGCTGAGGCAGGAGGATCGCTGTGAGTTCGAGACCAGCCTGGGCTACACAGTGAGTTCCAGGTCAGTCTCAACTACATAGTGAGACCCTGTGGAAAGGAAGAAAGAGAGGGGGCGGGGGAGAGGGAGAAAGAAAGAAAGAAAATGTACTGGGCTTAGTGGGATATCATGGTGCATACCTGTAATCCTAGCACTCTGGGAGGCAGAGGCAGGAAGACTGCCAAGTTCAATCCCAGCCTTAGGGACTTAGATCCTGTCTCAAAATAAAAATAAAATAAATTAAAATTGGTGTAGAGATGTAGCTCAGTGGGAAGGGCCCTGATACTGGGGGGGAAAAAAGTTCTGAGTGTACAACCTTAAAATCTTTTAGATGAAGTGTGTCGAATCCTCAAAACTTGATCTCAACGTTAAAGCATTTCAGCAACTCTTTTGGAGTAGTCCACTGATGAGTTTACAGTATACCCCGTGAAGTCACGGTTCAGAGTTCATGGCCTCAGAATTCATTCCGGTTTTTTCCTTAGAACCTAACGCAGAAAATCCACAATATTGTGGAAACCATAAATAAATATATATCCTCCACAATTATTTCTTTAGCCAGGTTTGCAAATAGCCAATCCGAGAGCATTATTCAGTTGTCCTTGCTGCTGATTGGCTGCTGCCCTGTACCCGTCTCAGGCAGATACACCTGCCTTCCTGTCACATAACAGGTTGCTGTACCACACGTACAGCTATCTCAGGTGTTCTTGGTTTTTCTTCTTCCCCTTCTTCTTCCTCTCCTTCTTCTTCTTCCTTCTTCCTTCTTTCTTCTTTTTTTGGTACCGGGGATCAAACTTGGTCCCTCGAGCTTGCAAGGCAGGCGGCGGAACCACTGAGCCAAATCCCCAGCCTGTTTTGTTCTTTTCAAAGCCCTAAAATCCCTAAGACGTTGCCAAAACACCCTGCACCATCTAAGGCTTTATTAATACAGTGTATTATTCAATTAAATTACATAACTGTGGGAGACATAGCATAGTTAGGGTTTTAATTATAAAAATAGGCATTTTCCTGACCATACTTGAAATTTGTGGTTTTTCTTAATTCTCGGGTGCTCTCGGAGCATTACCCTGGTAAATTCCGGGATTTTTGTACAGTTCAGTGTGATCTTGGGAGGCACAGCCTGGCTGGAGGAGGTGGGTCACGGGCGTGGAAGGATCTCCCTCCCCGCTTCATAGCTCTCAGATTCCTGCTGCCCCACCAGGAGCCATTTCTCCTCCTGCCTTGGAGCCAGTTGAGTGTAGACTGAAACCTCTACAGTCTGTGAGAAAAAATAAACCTTTCTTCCTCGAACTTGTGGGTACCGGGTACTGTGTCGCAGGGAAGAGAAAGTGACTAAGATGCTTACCCTCTCTGTGTCCTCTTGCTCATCTAGTTTCCCTTTTCCTCTCTTGACATAAAGTATCCTTATTTTCCAAAGGGCCCTAAAGACTCCACCTAGGGAAAACTGATTCTCCAAACTCCCTCTACTCCCTGCCAACAGACGACACTCTAAGCTAGAACTAACCTGAATTCTAGCTTGGCAGTGTACCTGGACTCTGCCCGCAGAATTTTCCAGAACAGATTCCTCTCTGGAAACACTGCCAATCTGGAAACACTGCCTTGTCTACCTCTGAGCTAGTTTATACCTTGTGTCTTCCACCCTCACTCACCTCCATGCTCAGGAGGCCACTGAATCTCACAAGTCAAGCTTTCTTCCATAAAACTTCATGTCCTAACACAATAAGCTCCTAACTTCTTCTGGAATCTTTTCTCTCACAAATACCCTGTGTTCCTGAGTTTTCCAACAAATTAAAAATAAAAATAAAAAGCCATTGCAGCATCTCTGTCCTGGTAATTAGAATGGCAGAATTTGGTATTTGACCAAAACCGAGGAATTCTGTAGCAAAGGAATGCAAGATAATTCCATTTATGAATAGAAGACATAAGGTGTGACTTGTTCATCAGAGACTTGTAGATCAGAAATTGAGGACCCACTCATCCTGGTATACCAGGATTTTTGTAGTTTTAACATTGAAAGTACCACAATCCAAGAAATTCCTCAGTCCTGGCACATAGCTGGTTACCCTACGTGGTTACCTGAGTCCTGGGTCCCCATGCTTTCCTTTAGCCAGGTTACAGAGGCCCAGCTTCCCTTTATACCTCATCTCCCATTTGCTCTGCGGTGTCTGCTCCCTGGTCACTGGAGACATCAGGAGCTAACAAGCCACCTGGGCTGATAGTGTGCTTAGTGTTTCCTTAATCACCTGTTGTTACCTGGGTTAAATTTCTCCTTCTTATCCATGCTGTATACAGTGTGGCTTGGCTCTGTGATTCTTATCAGCTAAACTTATAAGGGGCTTGAGCAGAACTTTTCACTCTACTCCTACCTGAACTGTGTTTAAGGTTAATTTATCATCGCGGGGGATTGAGACTGTGGGCTGAGGTGTCGCTGAAAAGAAAACCATGTCACCTTGCATCTTTCCAGTAAGACAACGGAGCTCTTCTGCACACAATCTTGCTGGTGCTAACAGAACCCCCGAAAAGAGGTAAGTGCCTACTGGTTAAATGAGGTAAGAGAAAGGGTAAGAAAAGATAACTTCTTTATGAACATTTTTTTTTCTCGAAATGTCTTGCTTCTCTTAAACTTTGTCTTCAAAATATAAACTGATGTGAAGATCTAAATTATTTTAAATTGGTGACTAGCCACCAGGCAGCCCAAGAGACCCCAAGCAGAGCTACAGTACCGTGGATGAACTCTCACTTTAAGTGCCATGGCCACAAGTTAGACAAAGGTATAGGCAAGAGAGGGGTGCTAAGATGCTGCATCTTCAAGGGTGGGATTGTAAAAGTTGAGCCAAGTAGGCTTAAATTAATCCACAGTTTAGACCCCTGGGAGTTAATTTTTTTTCTTTTCTTTTCTTTTTTTTTTTTTTTTTTTTTCTTTTTTTTTTTTTTTTTCTTTTTTTTTTTTTTTTTCTTTTTTTTTTTTTTTTTCTTTTTTTTTTTTTTTTTCTTTTTTTTTTTTTTTTGTACTGGGGATTGAACTCAGGTCCTTGTGCCTGCAAGGCAGGCAGCAGAACCACTAAGCTAAATCCCCAGCCCCATGGGAGTTAAATTCAATAATAAAGTTCTTGCATCAAGCGTTGGTAGCTCCACTTTCTCCAGAGTATGCTGAATTGAATGATGCTCTTCCAAAAGCTACCTCCTTTCTTTTAGTATTTATTAGACATGCCCCATGATAGGATGAATCTGGGGCTGTTCTGAAACTCAGACTTAGGGTTCATAAGAATCTCCAGGACAGCTTGTGAAATGCTGATTCTGGGGTTCTCTTCTGGACATTCTGGTTCAGGGGCCCCGAGATGGGACCCAGGGATCTTTGGCCTTAGAAAGAATCAGGCTCTGGTCTGAGGTGGATGGTCCAAGGGCCTCTAGAGCTTTGCTGCTTACATCTGCTGTGCAGAATTTCAGGCTCTACCACCGGTCTCCTGCATCAGGACCTACAATTTGATAAGCTCCAAGGCGATCTGTATATGCATAAAGGTCTGAGGTGCATGATTCAACAATCATGTTCAATTCAGAAATTGGAGCCAAGTGAGAATTATATGCAAATGGAAACCTAGAGCAAGCTTTCTTTCATGGGAGCTTCTAACACATACTCAATGAATATTTGCCAGGTAAATGTATTTTTGTGAGAGAGGGACTGCAGTTCTGTTGTGCATGCTAACTTGCATTGACAGAAGCTCCTGAATAAGCCAGAGGTCTAGGTAAGTGTTAGAGTAGATGAAGCTGTTTTATACATCAGTCGATCAGTATTTATTAGGCATTTACTATGTACCCAGTCTGCTTCTCTTGTTCTACTGGGGGAAAGAAAGTTAATATAAAGGAGACCTTTAAAGGATAATGAAGTTCCCCAATGTTATATGGTCACTTGGTGTTTATAAGCAGAGTTAAAAGAAGGGGAAGCCAATTGGAAAGGTCGGAGGTGTTCCATGGAGAAGGGGTGAGCTGATCAGGAAAGTGTAGGTGGGATTTAGCTAGAGTGACAAGAAGCCTTCCCAGCCAGAGAGCGCACAGAGTCAAACTGAAAATGGGTTTCATTTATCTATGAGATGGAGAGGTGAATGGGCCTACTGTGATGAAGGCCTAAACCAATTTGGAACGGAAAAGTAGAAGGTTATGTGGAATGAAACTAAACTGTAGATCATCTTGAAAGTCAGAAGTAGAAGTTGCTCTGCATGTGTTTAGTAGAGCTAATTATTTCCCTTAATAGTTGCTCTCTGCCTGCCCCCCTTGTATGAGGTCGCTGTTTTGTTATTTAACTCGGGCTCATGGCTGACAAAAACATAGACATTTCCCAAGCTCCTTTGCAGGAGATATGATCACATGACTGTGTTTCTACTGATGAGACGAACAGAAATGTCAGCTGTGACTTCTCTTTTTAATTTTTATTTTTTTAACAAAGAATGCAATTTATTAAGAACTTGATGGACAGAAAAGACTTCTCTTTAAAAACGATGGGGGTACTTCCTTCTTTCCATCTCTCCCATCTTGTTAACTAAGTAGTGATGAGGATAACTGGAGTCAGGGTGTCATTTTGGACCTGAACATGGAAGTCACTAGCTAAGGTGACCTGCCTCATGACACAGACAGCTTTCTGTGATTTCTAACCCGACAGACTATGAATGAGATGTGATTTTCTTAAGCCACTATTGCTGCACTTTGGGCTTTACTGCCATGCACAGATGAACAAGACTTGAATAAAGCATGCAATTCAAAGTACAGAAAGGCAGGGTGTTATGCAGTCATGGTTTGAAAAAGTGTCCCTTGAAGGCCATGTGTTAAAGGCTTGGTTCCCAGCCAGCATTGCTATTGGGAGGTGGTGGAACCTTTTAGAGGTGGCCCCTAGTGAGAGGAAGTTAGGTCGCCGAGGTTTGTATTTGCAGGGGATACTGGGACCTCAGCCCCTTCCTCTTCCTCTCTATAGCATCTTGGTCATGAATAA